TCCCTGTTCTTCCATCCCTCCTCTGAGCCCTTCTCAAACTCGTGAATGAAGGACTAGCCAATCTAAATCCACGCTGTCACGTGCGTAACAATGCCACGCCCAGCTGCACCCTGCACAAAGATTTTCCAGCTAATGGACTACAATCCGTGTACTGGCAGCCTGAGAGCAATTGTTACTGGGTCAGGTTAATTACGCAATTAACCCTTCACATTGCCACCACCCTCTTTTTTTTTTTTTTTTTGTACAGAGAAAGAGGAAACTCTGCAATATTAGCAATAACACTATGATGTTTGAATAAGCGTCGGTATACCACTGTCACCGCAGGCAGCGATATACTGAAGTTTAAAACACACACACAGTAGCGCACTTCAGAGGCAGGAATTCGTAGTTTGCATTAAAGGCTTTAGAAACAGTTCAACACTTTCAGAAAGTAAGATTTATTACTAAAAGGTCAAAAGGGTGCAATAAAAATATTTACAGAAAAAGATGTAGCCAGTATATATAAATACAGGGAACAATAGCACAGCAAAAAGATAACAGAGAGAAGTTAGAGGGTTAAAGTACTTGCCACATGTCCTGGGTTAAGCAGATCAGGTTTTAGAGCAAAGATTTATCTCCCACTGTCAGTTTCGATGTTAAAACAGGAGATTCTTCAACTCTCACACACACCGCTCAACTCAGCCTAGCTTAGCTTTTCTAGTAATTCCACAGAGTGTCTCCCTGGAGCAGTAAACCAATCGCCTTATTTGGGGAGGGAGGTGTAGGTGGAGACCTAAGTTAGGACCAAGAAACACTCATAGCTTCTATTATGATTCATAACTTACTCTCAGGGCATTTAGCAGCCGTGCCCCTAGTAGATTAATATGCAGACGCATCTGCGGAACAGTTAGATATGAAATATTTGCGTGAATGGTTCAGGAGATGTAATCTTCTGCTCTCCGGTATGTGTCAGATAAGGGGTGCAACATGCCAGGAGAATGGTCTCAAATTGATCCAGGACACCATTGCCATCAGTTTCCTGTCTGCTAGGTCGCTCACAGGTCTAGCTGAGCCATGATAGTTGCACCCAGGCGTCTTACCGTAGCTAGCTGCACCCAAGACTGACGTAACCTGCTTTTTGGCCTGGGGGGTAGGCCAGGTCATAATTGCCTCAGTCTCCCCATTCCCAGACCTCTGGTGGTCTCTTCCTACCGGTGGTTCCCATTGTTGAACCACTGACATGCCCCTCTGACAGTTACCATGTTTAACTGTCAGACCAGGCACGGGCAGTTTGTTCCTGACTATTGACAGGGGTCCAAGTGGCTCTTCCCAGGGGTCCAAGTGGCTTCTCCCAGACACGGCCGAACACTGCAAGGCCCCTACAGTGGGCAACTGCACGCAGTTCCACTATATACACTGTAGGTCATTCCTGACCCCTGGGGAGGTGGTTGGTGCGTTCTCAACCCCAACTAGCTTTCCCGTGAATTCAGGCCAGCCACATGGGGTGGTGAAGGCTGACTCGTCCTGAGCCTTCTTGGGTTAGAGATGGTGGCCCATACCCTCTGCTCAGGTCCATGATGGTTAGACAGCGGGCACCTGCCAGATGCTTCATTACCTCCTGGGCATGGGGTAGGCCACAACCACAGGGCTGGCGCTCACTTTTCCAAGATCCTCACAAAGCCTGGTCATCTGATTCTGTTTGGGGATCGAGACTACCGGGGATGCCCAGACTCTGCGGGACCCCTGGATTCCTGACTGCGCCATTCCCTCTGTTTCTTTGGCCCATTCAGTCTGCACCTCCTGTGAGATGAGGTGGGCCAAAGTCATGAGGGAAGGATACACCCTGCCGTCCAACTCGTGAACAGCATGGTGAGCTCTCCCCGGGTTTCCCTGAACCCAGACACCATCTATCATAGGCCTTGCCAGCAGCTTCTGTACTTGAATGGAAAGGAAAGGTGATTGGAGCTGAAGGCCACAGCCCCCTCTCTGAGATCCGATGATCCACGCCAAGGAGGCCCTTCACACTTCCAATCCAGGTGTGCTGTCACTACCTCTGACATGTGTTGGTCTGCCTGGTGGTGGGGGAGGGAATCTAAGCCAGCAGTAGGGGGAGGAGGTTTCCTCCCTAGCTTCATATTCTCTCCACACACCCTGACAGGCCAGATCAGATGACATGCTTTCAGGCCCCAAGCCCCCTGCTGGTAGACCATTCATTTCACCATCCCTGTCAGGCCATTGTTTACCTTTCTCAGCAGGGAAGCTCACAGCTAGCTGGCTGCTGAAGTCCACGTGTGGATCGCTTTTCAGTGCTGCCTTACCCATGGGACTACAAGTACCAGCCGGCTGTCCAGTACCATGCAAGGACAACGGCTGGGCGCTTATCAAGGTAGCATCCTCTGTGCCTGGGTAAGGAACAGAAAGGGTACAATAAAAATATTTACAGAAAAAGATGTAGCCTATAATATATATATATATATATATATATATATATATATATATATATATATATATATATATATATATGGTAATGGAACAATAGCACAGCAAAAAGATAAGAGAGAAGTTAGAGGGTTGAAGTACTTGCCACATCTCCTGGGTTAAGCAGATCAGGTTTCAGAGCAAAGGATTTATCTCCCACTGTCCGTTTCCACGTTAAAACAGGAGTTTCTTCAACTCTCACACACACCGCTCAACTCAGCCTAGCTTAGCTTTTCTAGTAATTCCACAGAGTGTCTCCCTGGAGCAGTAAACCAATCGCCTCATTTGGGGAGGGAGGCGTAGGTGGAGACCTAAGTTAGGACCAAGAAACTCTCATAGCTTCTATTATGATTCATAACTTATTCTCGGGGCATTTAGCAGCCATGCCCCTAGTAGATTAATATGCAGACGCATCTGCAGAATGGTTGGATATGAAATATTCGTGTGAATGGTTCAGAAGATATAATCTTCAGCTTTCCAGTATGTGTCAGATAAGGGGTGCAACATACCAGGAAAATGGTCTCAAATTGAGCCGTTCGAATATGAGCTCCGTGTTTATGTGAGTCTTCCATAATCCAAGATATGAAATCATAGGGGAAAATGGATGTTGAATGTGGTGTCTAGTTTATGACTTATCTGGAATGATGGGGGGGGGGGGGCACCTAGCTAGTGAGCTTTTATAGCCAGGACACCCTCCCACTGAGTGTGTTGCCTGTGATCTCTGCAAACGCACACCGACCACATGTCACTCAACAGGATGTGGGGATGAGGACAGAGGGAGAAAGATAACTATACAAGATGGATGACCCCTTGCCAAAATGGAGGTTCGCATCCATCTCTGTGTGCATGATTGCTACAAACCCCCCCCCCCCCCCCGACTTTCCCATCCCTGTTCATTCCTGTCTCCCCCCCCCCGTCTTTCCTATCCCTGTGTCTATTCCCCTCCCTGAAGAGAGAGAGGTTTTCAGAGATCGCCTAAAAGTGAGTAGAGTAGGCGATAGTCTGATAGATTGGGGTAGAGAGTGCCAGAGGATGGGGGAAGCTCTGGAGAAGTCCTGGAGATGAGCATGGGAGGAGGAGACAAGGAAGCTAGAGAGCAGGAGGTCATGCTAGGAGCGGTGTGTACGGTTTTGGTGATATTTGGAGACAAGATCGGTGATGTAATTTGGGGCAGAGTTATAAATGGCTTTATATGTTATTGTTAATGTTTTGTACTTTATCCGTTGGGCAATGGGAAGCCAGTGGAGGGATTGGCAGAGAGGGGTGGCAGATACAGAACGGTTAGTAAGGTGGATGAGTCTGGCAGCATACTTACAGCATATAATTAAATATATATGTATATGACTGACTGACAAACATTCGCACTGGCACAATGAAAAATCGCCAAAGCTTGTGTAATGTTGTTTCCTATGATCTAGGAACGATAATGCGGTATTGACAGGGCAACTCGCTTCTCAGTAATGAGTGAAGAATGTGCCCAAAGCTTGTGTATGCAGCTGCGTTTATAAACAGAGGTGTAGAAATAAGCATCTACCAATCCATCGGTGAAAAATGTTAGGTCTGTACAATGTGGGTCAACTGATCATTTACTGCTTTTTCTTTTTTTTTCTTTTTTTCTTTTTGTTTGTTATTTTTATTCTTTATGGTCTGAAAAAAGGGGTATGACAGGCATGCGTCCTTTACCTACCTACGTAGCTCTAAAGTGACAATGAGACAAGTAATTTAAAGTATAACTAAAGGCAAAACTTTTTTTTAGTTTTGGACAGAGTAGAGATGGATTAGAACCCGTAAGTTTTGTGTTTTGCGTTTTTTTTTTTTTTTTTTTTTTTTTTGCTGTCTGTGCCCCTAATAGGGAGATTCGCTCTCTCTCTTTTCCTGTTTTTACCATTATTATTGAAAGTGGAAGTAAAAGAAAATCCAACATTTTGAGTTGTCCTCAGAAATGTAATAGAGGGGAAATCGTCCAATGGGGACACTAGTTCTGGTGAGCTGGGGCTCCCCCAAGGAATTCCCTTAATTTGCAGGGATTTACTCTCACTTCCTGTTTGGATATAGGACAGGAAGTGAAGGGAAATCTCTGCAATGGGACACAGATGGCCAAAGAAAGTCTGACGGGTTATAACCCTCCCATGCTGTATCCTAAATAAAAAAAAAAAAAAAAAGTTTGCCTACAGTTCTACTTTAAAAATGAAAGCTAGGCGCTGATTGGTTGCCATACACAGCCTCTCCAGACTTCATGTCTTAGTAAATTCCCCTCATGAAGTCCATTAGATAGAATTTTGTTTTATTGTCACTTGCATACCTTGTAGGTGAATCAACAAGCTGCTGCTCATAATTCTGACACGTGAGTCAACAAGTTAAATGTTGTTTAATTATTTTGCTGGAGAGCCTAAGGTGAGAAAAACGTTTGTAAGTCATAGTCACTCTAGAGCTTATGCATACAGTGAGGTTCCTGAGGTTTCAGCTGTTACTAACATTGTTTACAACCTGCTCTGTTCCTCTAGGGGAGGGCATCCAAATCCAGATCTGACCAGACCAGCAAGATGTGGCTCAAGCTGTTTCTGCTGCTCCTGTACTTCCTCATCCTCTTCGTACTGGCCAGATTCTTTGAAACTATAGTATGGTACGAGACGGGCATCTTCGCCAGTCAGCTAGTGGACCCGGTGACCTTAAGCTTCCACCAGCTGAAGACCATCCTGGAGTGCCGAGGCTTAGGATATTCAGGTCTTCCAGAGAAGAGGGATGTCCGGGAACTTGTGGAAAAATCTGGTAAGGCATGGTAAAGGTTGACTTGTGACATCATCTAAATAGGTGTTGTTCAGTGAAGGCACCCTGTAGCATTGTGCACAATCCTGGGGCACACCGGTCTGAGCGCTTCTTCACACATGGAGGTGCATCCAAGTGTGAGTGCTTTTCTGCATGTTCCTGCGTGTTGTGGTTTTTAATAGGCTCTATGCTTGGGGAAACATGCATAAAAAGTGCTGACATGATTTTTAAATCCCGACCCACCAAAATGTATGGTACTGTGGTACTATGCATTTTGGTGGGCCCAAATGTATAGAAGAATTTAGTGGCACCCCCATGCTTAGCATTTTTGTGCAGTGTGGGAAAACACTCCATTTCATATACATTATCATCGGTTGACAGGACGCAGGCGGCCGGCTTGCACAGCTTTCAGTTTTGCCGATGAGTATAGAGAGGAGAGAACTGTATGGAGCTGCGGGGAGTCCTCTCTCCATCCTCTCTGTACTCGTCGGCAAAACTGAATGCTGTGTAAGCCGTTCGATCTGTCCTTTTGGCAACCAATGACGTCCTCGGTTGACAGGGCATGGGCTGCCGGCTTGCACAGCTTACAGTTTTGCCAACGAGTACAGAGAGGAGGAGAGAACTGTATGGAGCTGCGGGGAGTGCTCTCTCCCTCCTATCTGTACATAGATTTTAACAGAGTAACCCTTTCATGACTGTAAAGGGCTATGTAGCATTTTGCCACTGTACCCCAGTTGAAAAATCTTGATCTAAATAACAGAGACCAACATATGGATGTAACCAGGGGCGGACTGACAACTCATGGGGCCCCCGGGCAATAGGGGATCATGGGGCCCCATGTCCTTGCCCAAACTCAAAAAAGCCTATGAAAAAGGTACCAGGGGCATCTCATGGGGCCCCCTACTGACCCCGGGCCCTTGGGCAGTGCCCGAGTTTCCAAATGGTCAGTCCACCCCCCTGGATGTAACAAACCGACTCCTGTCCTCACCAACCTGTGACAAAAGACCAGCCAAACTCACGCCGCACGGTCACTATATTTTTTTTAGCATACTGTCTCCCTAGCAGTGCAGTGTTACCATGGTGACACTGTACTACTTGGGGGGGTGATGTTTTTTTTTTTTTTTTTTTTTTCCACTGATTGCTTTTTCACCCATAAAGGCTGTAAAAGCAATCATTTCTCCTTCTCTCTGACTGCATTGTTGCAGCCATTGAGAAATACTGTGAGAGCTGTGATTGGTCACAGCTTGTCACATGGTACAAGGCTGTTGTGAATAGTCTTGTACCATGTGACCTCTGTGATCATTCACAGATCTCACTAGTAGGAAGCAATGATGTCAGGAAGTGACATCTTGCTTACTACTATTCATGTGGTCACTGATTGGCAAATCAATGATCACATGAATTGGGACCTCAGACAGAGGTCCCGTACAGCAATCGGTGTTCCGCTGTGTCCTCCTGGACACAGCGGGCACCGGATCGCAGTGCCACGCACTCCCAGGGAGCGCACGCAGGTTGTAAATATGGGCACCGTTTATGAACGGCAACCCACTCCTGCACTGCTTCCGTCCGGCCGTTTATGTACATGGGCAGGACAGGAAGTGGTTAATAGGTCCTGTCATTCCCTTTTCTGTGATATCAAAGGGGTGTTGACCGAGACCATCTGACCAATCATCTGGTTTAAGAGATGAGTGCTGGGAGGCCACCACATTTATGAACAAGTCCCAAATACTGGTTTTTTACACTAATAATAACATCTTCCAATATATGCAGGTTGCATTCTAGAAACTGGCAGACTATTCAATTCTATTTCGTATCCCGGGATACCAAACACAGAGTGCTTCAGATGGATCTGCCAACCAAGAGGGAGGAGACTGCTTTCTTCCCATTTGTATGTGCTAGGGTAGTCCTGTTTGACCTTAATTTATTCGGTATGATATTCCCCATTCAAATATATACCCAATGATGTCATCGGTTGTTAAGTGCAGGGTGGGTGACTTGCACAGCTTTCAGTTCCGTTAACAGTGGAAATCCTTAATGATCGGACAGTACCGGGCTGTATGTAATTTAGCTGTGGCATAGGCAAAGAGGGGGGCTTTGGGGGGGATTTGTGCTAGGTGGGGTAATTTTGGAGGAGGATTTGTGCTAGGAGGGGAGATTTATGCATTTAGGATTGGGGGGGGGGGAGTTTGTACAAGGAGGGGGTTGTTGTACTAGGAGGGGGATTTGAGGGGGGTTATTTGTGCTAGCGGGGGGAATTTTATAACCTACTGACCACTTAAAGCTGCTTTGCAAACTACATTTTAGGGCCACCAGGTACAGTGCGGTAAAGCACGTGGAATTACACATTCCAGCACCTCACCAAAATGCTGAGCCTTTTGCAGTTTCATGCAGGTGTCATTAATTCTGGCGGCGCAGCCACCAATTGCATGTATGTTTGTGCTAACTAAAATGCATAATACCACTGTACCATGCATTTTGGGGACTCAATTTAATAATCATGCCAGCACAAGCATAGAGCAGCCTAATAAAAAAAGAAAGCAACATACGGGAACACACAAAAAAACTGCTGGCGCTCTTACGCACCTCTTGTGTGAACGAGCCCTCAGACTGGTGTGCTGAGGATTGTGCACAGTTCTAGAGGGTGCCTTGACTGAAAAAAGGATGAAAAACACTGCCTTAGATAATCTCGCACTGCAGAAATACAGCTATTGGGCTGAAGATTCAGGACGTGCGATACTATTTTAAAGGAGCAGTTCAAGGCAAATGGTACCCCTTTTTTTTTTTTTTTTTTTTTTCAGGGTTTTGCTTTGGCACAAAGAACATTTTTAAATGTTCTTATAAGGTAGCAAATGTTCGGCTTTTTTAGTGTCTTCTTCAAGGATGTTTCTACATAAAACACAGATGTGATGCTTTTTGAAAGTACTTGTAGATCCAACACTCAAGCCACATATGGAATGGTTTATATTGCTCCAACTATTCTTTTCTCCTTTCCTGACTGGCCTAGTTCACTTGTTGGGCCGTATTGTTGCTTTAAGAAAGGCCCAGTCTTTGTAGCCACAAACATTCAGAGTTCCCACAAGGTGTTTGTATTGCCTGTCCTTAGATTCACTGTTGGTTGGTTTCACAGCTTCAGTTAAGTAAATCACTTAAGCAACAATGCAATCTCTCAAATCAATTTAAAGAACTGTGAGATAGGCAAACAAAATCACCCATTCGTACACCCCCTACACACAACGCTGAACAGTAAATACAATTTTGGAAATCCTTACCATTTAGGAGTAAAGTCTAATTGAATTTTCATGACCTCATCTCTGTAATTCAAAAGATAACCGCATCTGCTCTGCCAACGAGGAGGTATTACAGTTGGGATTACATCATATCTCCTCTCTCTCTGCAGTAAAAGGAAACAACAGTTCCCATCAACCACAGGGAATTGTAAGGAATGTGGGCGGGTACACTAGGCCTGTACATGTTCAATGTGTCTGGGAGTCTGTCTGCCCACTACTGTAAGTGGGGCTGAATTACATCATTGCTGTCTGGAGAAAGCATTACAGAAGGGGATGTGCCAATACCAGTGGCTAGGGGAATAGGAGACAGCCACCAGTCTAACAAACCGAAAACCAAAGAGATTTAATGGTTTGATTTGAAAATGATTAGGCTATGTCAGAGCAACTACTGAGTGAACCAGAAGATAGATGACCTAATCAGAGAAGTTTTTCTCCTGGAGTTCTGCCCCCCTTTGGACCCAGGTTTTAGGGTACTATGGTTTTTTGCTAGCTGGACAGCCAATAAAATGTTATTCACTAAGGCAGTGCAGATTTTTGTGTTTACTATTGAACTGTATTTGAAATTATGAAGTTGAATATATGGGAATAATTTTGTATAACTTCTGTTTCTACACTCCCTAGAAATGCTTAACAGCGGACCTTAGTGTTACTAAATCCACAACAGTAAAATCAGTCTGTATATGCAGTAAAGCATGCTTGTTCTACTCACTGTGGAACCTAAGGGGTTAATCCTCATTGTGTAAAAAGGCTTTTTGATCCTGGCTTCCCTGATCCTCCCCTTCTACTGTCCCCAATCTATCTGCTGATAGTACAGAGGTCTGTACATGCTAATTTTTTAGTGTGTATTGCTAGAAAAGTCCTTTTTGGTTTTTTTTTGGTTTTTTTTGTTTTTGTATTTTTTCTTTGGGAAGGGTGCATGTGCTCAGCACAGGGCCAATCAGCACTGTCCAGACAGAGAGTCAGGGGTTATGAAGCCTCATAGGACAGTCCTAGCAGAATGAACACTCCTCCTACTAGCTATAACCAGTGTTCGGCTGGACACTGGTAGAAATCACAAGACTGCTATATATTGCTGATGAAAAAAGGTATTTACAGTTTATATTTACTAAAATAATTGCATTTCCATGTTCTGTGTACTGTGGGAGACCAGATATAGTGAATGCAAGGCCCTGGGTTTAGTGCCACTTTAAAGTGATCATCAGATGGATTGGGGACAGTAGAAGGGGAAGATTAGAGAAGATGGGATCAAACAGCCTGTAATGCCTATGAAATGTGTTGGTCTTGGACCCTTTATTTCTTGTGTAATTTTTACAATAAAGTATTGTTGCCCAAATACCAGGAGCATGACAGTTGACTGATGTCATTTCTGTAAGCTAAAGGAACAGAGTCACAAGATATTCTGCTTAAAGTAAGATAAAAACTTGTTTATGGAATTGAACGTGTTTATGACATCTAGTAATGTCACATTAGAAGATAAGAACCTGTTTAAAGACGTCTACTTGCTTGAGAAGTTAGAAATCTAAGTGTAGGGTAGATGAGAAGAAGTTTAGGGTAGATAAGAAGCTGAACTGAAGAAAAATCGTGACTTTTCAGATAACGATGTGTAATCAATATGGTGGCTGAGCGTCACGTTTATTCTCGCAGAACCTTTCTGCTAGCTCCTCCTATAGTGGGTGTGGTGCCCACCCACTATTGGAAAGCTTCCAGAAAAATGGTTTTAAAAGCCGAGGGAGTCCAAGCAAGACCGATAGGAAGCCCCCTAGTGGCCAGAAGACGCTCTGACGCTGGGATTCTTGCCAAGGCTATATAGGCTCATCAATTGGTCATGCTTACGGCTTCCCCGTGACCCCCTGGGCAGTATAGTTCTGATGGTATTTGTTCCTTCCCGCTTCCACATAGCTTTGGTAATGTATTCATTCTGTGTTGTGATGCTGTCAAATGATGTCTATTTCATGCTGTAATGCTCACATAATTATTGGTGTGTTTGCTATTATGCAGATTGTGATGACCATAAGATATATCCTCCTGTGTGTCGTGTGATAATAAAAGTGGAGGTTTTGACAGTGCAAGAGTATTGCAGTTGGATTCTGTTATTTCTTGGAGTGCCAAGTGAATGCTATGATGTGCCAAGGCACGTATTCATTGGGTAGATGGTCTTTCACATGCCTAGAATATGTAATGGTGTAACTGCTGATTTAAAAGTACCTGTATTGACTACATGTTGATTGTGTGCATTTTATATGACTTGCTTTTAGTTATTGCACCCAGTATTTGCCATTACACAGCCTTTTTACACAATGTGGAGGATAAACCCCTTGGATTCCAGAGTGAGTATAACAAGCATGCTTTACTGCATATACTGATTTTACAGTTTTTGGTTTAGTAACACTTTCAATCCTGCTAATTGGTTTGTAACCATGTTTATACACAGTATTTCTGAATGTGCTTCATATTTTTTCACTTGTGTGTCCCCAGTGAATTTGAATTTATTTTGTATTTTGGTGCTACATTAGGTTTACTCTTATATCCTAATTCATATTGTGTCCATCAGGTGACTTGATGGAAGGAGAGCTGTACTCTGCCCTGAAGGAGGAGGAGGCCTCAGAATCTGGCTCCAGCACTAACTTCAGTGGAGAGATGCACTTCTATGAGCTGGTGGAAGACACAAAAGATGGCATCTGGCTGGTGCAGGTAGCTGGTGTATGTGTGTGAAGATGTATGTTTTGTGTAGATGCCTCTGGATTGAGTTACCTTCTGGTTGCTTCAGTTTTTCATGGGCTCCATAAGATATTGAAATCCAGGTACTTATGTCTCCTGCTATCATTGTGAAAGTGTCCACCTCTTTTTTTATGAATTACAATAGAGGAAATATACAGGTAGCCTGAGGCTGTAGTGTATTGGAACTCTGATAGGTAGATCCCATTGTTGGAGTCTGTGAGATTTAAAGAAAAAAAAATAAAGGCCCTTTCACACTAGTCAGTTTTATCTTGCCAAAAGCAGAAGAAACATGCATGACCAATAAATCCTATGGAACTCTTCACACCAGTCATTTGTGGATCAGTTGCATTTTTAAAAGCCCTGCTTGCTGGATTTTTGGTGCTTGTTTGCTGCGGTAAAAACGCATCTCTTCATTGAAATTAATAGAAATCGCATCAAAAACATACCTGGTTGTGTTTTTGATGCATTTTTTTAAGTCACATGTCCTTTTTCCACAGGTGAAAAATGCTTTAGAATCACTGCAAAAATGGATTTTTGCAACCGAGCAGTGTAAAAGTAGCCTTAGGTGGCCAGCAACAAATACAGTAGCTCGACTAATAATCTCAGAACCAAAATATAATTTAAAAAAACCTTATTGTTCAATAAACCAAAACGGTTAAAATTTCAAATGAAAAAATGTAATATTGATAAACCAAGACAATTTTATGGCTTAAAACCAAATCCCACCAAGCGTTCACCCGTTATAAATCTGCCTTCCTAACATACACTTCCTCCCTTTATGCTGCCAAACAAGCCTACTTTGTCACTTTCATCAATACCTTCTCTTCGAGTCCTCGTCGGCTCTTCTCTACCTTAGTTCTCTACTTTCTCCGTCCCCACCCGCCACCCAGCACCTCACTCACTGCCCACGAGATTGCAAACCACTTCCAAAACAAGATTGACGCAATTCGTAGGGACATCGCCACTACACAGACACCCACCCCACTTAGCATTCCTCATATCATACCTCCCTCAACACTCTCCTCCTTTGACCTCGCTACCACCGAAGAGGCCCTCAAGGTCTTCTCAGAAGCCCGCCTCACCACCTGCCCCCTGGACCCTGTCCCCTCGCAACTCCTTCGGTCACCCTCCTCCTCCATCCTATGCTCCCTCAGTCACATCTTCAATCTTTCCCTCTCTACAGGTGCCTTCCCCTCCCCTCTAAAGCACGCGCACATCACTCCCATACTTAAAAAACCCTCCCTAGACCCCACCAACCTAAACAACCTAAGACCCATCTCCCTGCTGCCATTTACCTCTAAACTCCTAGAATGCTTAGTCTACAATCGCCTGAGCTCCCACCTCACTGGCAACAACCTTCTCGACCCTTTACAGTCTGGCTTTCGCTCACTCCACTCCACTGAAACTGCCCTACTAAAACTCTCTAATGACCTACTAACTGCAAAAACCAACGGCCACTATTCAATACTCCTACTACTCTACCTCTCCGCGGCTTTTGACACGGTTGACCATCCCCTCCTCCTCAAAAAACTACACTCTCTTGGCCTCAGAGACTCCACTCTCTCCTGGTTCTCCTCCTATCTATCGCAGCGCTCCTTCAGTGTTACCTATAACGCTACCACCTGCTCTTCACTCCCTCTCTCTGTAGGGGTCCCTCAAGGTTCTGTCCTTGGACCCCTTCTCTTCTCCATCTACACCTCTTCCCTTGGTCACTTGATAAACTCCCACGGCTTCAAGTACCATCTGTATGCTGATGACAAGCAAATCTATCTGTCTACCCCTCACCTCACCCCTTCAGTCTCCACTCACATCACTAGCCTACTAAGTGACATATCGGCATGGATGTCACTCCACTTCCTCAGACTCAACCTCTCCAGAACAGAGCTCTTAGTATTCCCCCCTGCCCGTGCCACCTCCACTGACCTCAACATAAATATCGGTAACACAATCATCAGTCCATCCCCTCATGCCAGGGTACTAGGTGTAATCCTAGACTCCCATCTGTCATTCCAGCCCCAGATCCAATCGCTGACAAAATCTTGTAGACTCCACCACCGCAACATCTCCAAGATACGACCGTTCCTAACCACGGAAACCACTAAGCAACTTATTCACTCCTTTGTCATATCACGCCTCAACTACTGTAACTCCCTCCTCATTGCCCTCCTCATCGCAGGCTATCCCCCCTCCAGTCTATCATGAACGCTGCTGCTAGACTCATACACCTCACTAACCGTTCTGTATCCGCCACCCCTCTCTGCCAATCCCTCCACTGGCTCCCAGTTGCCCAACGGATAATTCAAAACACTAACAATGACATATAAAGCCGTTCATAACACTGCCCCAAATTACATATCCAATCTTATCTCTAAATATCACCCAAACCGTACACTCCGCTCCTCGCAAGACCTCCTACTCTCTAGCTCCCTTATCTCCTCCTCCCATGCTCGTCTCCAAGACTTCTCCAGGGCGTCACCCATCCTCTGGAACTCCCTACCCCAATCTATCAGACTATCACCTACTCTACTTACCTTTAGGTGATCATTTGAAAACCTATCTCTTCAGGGAAGCCTATCCCGCCCTCTGCTAATTCTGGTATCCTCTACGCTTCCAACCACTCCATCCCCCAGAGTTTTACCTATTGTACCACTCACCCCTACCTCCTAGATTGTAAGCTCCAAGGAGCAGGGCCTTCAACTCCCTCTTGTATTGAACTGTATTGTTGCTGTATTGTCTCCCACTACAATGTAAAGCACTGAGCAAACCGTTGGTGCTATATAAATCCTGTATAATAGTAATAATTTTATTAGTGCTTGTGACCTCCATTTTATATTGTAAAATGGTGATAGGGAGTGATAGTGGGGCACAGCAATTAATAATAAGTATAAAAATAAAAATGTCTCGTTTCCAGCTTGAGCAATTGTTGGCCTTTTGAATGTAAACAAGGAATTAATGATTACATGCTACTTGAAAGCTTCTACTATATGCATGCCAGTACCATGTGCTTCTGTAGCTTTATGTATTAATTGCTGGTTATGAACAGCTAGCCTTCTGGAATCATTACTGTTTACTGGAATGTTGAGAGCCCACCTAGACTCCTTTTTTCTGTCTTATTCATTCACCCCATAATTCTGCAAATTACTCATATGTCCTATATACACTGCTCAAAAAAATGAAAGGAACACTTTGAGATATATGTTCTCAAAGGGAAAAAATGTACTGGATATCTATACTGATATGGACTGGGTAATGTGTTAGGAACGTAAGGATGCTGCATTGTTTGATGGAAATTAAAATTATCAACCTGCAGAGACTGAATTCAAAGACACCCCGAAAATCAAAGTGAAAAAATGATGCAGCAGGCTAGTCCATTTTGGTGCAATTTAATTGCAGCAACTCAGAATGGTACTCCAGTAGTTTGTATGGCCCCCACGTGCTTGAATGTATGCCTGACAATGTTGGGGCATGTTCCTAATGAGACGATGGATGGTGTCCTGGGGTATTTCCTCCCAGATCTGGACCAGGGCATCATTGAGCTCCTGGACAGTCTGAGGTGCAAACTGCTGGCAGCTTTGGATGGACTGAAAAATGATATCCCAGAGGTGTTCTATTGGATTTAGGTCAGAGGAGCGTGGGGGCCATTCAGTGGTATCAATTCCTTCATCCTCCATGAACTACCTGCATACTCTCGCCACATGAGGCCGGGCATTGTCTTGCACCAGGAGGAACCCAGGAACCACAGCACCAGCATAGGGTCTGACAATGGGTCAAAGGATTTCATCCCCATACCTAATGGCAGTCAGGGTACCATTTGTCTAGCCTGTAAAGGTCTGTGCGTCCCTCCATGGATATGCCTCCCCAGACTTTCACTGACTCACCACCAAAACAATCATGCTGAATGATGTTACCGGCAGCATAACGTTTTTCACGGCTTCTCCAGACCTTATCACGTCTGTCACGTGCTCAGGGTGAACCAGTGGCGGACCTGCCAATTCTGGTGTTCAATGGCAAATGCCAATTGAGCTCTATGGTGCCTGGCAGTGAGCACAGGGCCCACTAGAGGACGTCCGGCCCTCAGGCCACCCTCATGAAGTCTTTTTCTGATTGTTTGGTCAGACATTCACACCAGTGGCCTGCTGGAGGTCTTTCAGTAGGGCTCTGGCAGTGCTCATCCTGTTCCTCTTTGCACGAAGGAGCAGATACCGGTCCTGCTGATGAGTTAAGGACCTTCTACAGCCCTGTCCAGCTCTACTAGAGTAACTGCCTGTCTCCTGGAATCTCCTCCATGCTCTTGAGACCGTGCTTGGAGACACAGGAAACCTTCTGGCAATGGCACGTATTGATGTGCCATCCTGGAGGAGTTGGACTGCCTGTACAACCTCTGTAGGGTCCAGGTAACGCCTCATGCTACCTCTAGCGCTACTGACCCTAGACAAATGCAAAACTAATGAAACACAGTCAGAAAAGATGAGTAGAGAAAGAAATGACAGTGGCCTCCACCTGTAAACCAATTCCTGTTTTGGGGGTTCTCATTGTTGCCCATCTAGTGCACCTGTTGTTAATCAGTTTCAGTTGCTTTGAAATTAACAACCCCCTCTGCTACTTAACTGACCAGATGAATATCCAAGGAGTTTAATTGACGTGATGCTACTAAAAAGTGTTCCTTTATTTTTTTTTTATTTTTTTTTTTGAGCAGTGGATATTCTATATCTAGTCCTATAAATATTAAGGGTCATAAAGATACTCCAACTTTTTTTTTTTTTTTTTTCGGTCCACAGTATATTGGTCCTCAGTTTTAGTTTGGTAGAAATTATATTCATAGCTAGGACTGGAAAAACAAGGTTTTTAGATCCCAAACTGGTGACCCCAAATTGTATTGTGGGGCCAACCAACCGAAAACACCCAAAAGCTAGTTATGTTGCTAAGTTTTGGGGGTTTTTTTTTTTTTTAATTACAGTGCATTTTAGGGGTTAACAGGCCCCCTAATCAGGGCTACAATTTTTATAATAGTCATGGTCATTGCTGCTCTTTTACTGGACAGGGGAAAATCAGGTTGGTGGGGCTCACCTATATAAACTGGTGACAAAGTGAAGCTATGATTGGCGTGGTTCAAGAAGAGGGCAGCGATCGACCATTGTTGAGAGCATCTACTTTTAAAAGTTTTAGAATCGCAGTGAGGTGGTACTTCAAAGATTTGAAAATCCCACCTCTAAAGAAAAGTAAGATCTAGCATTACTGTCATTAAAACAGATGGAGCTCCATGCTGTTCATTTTTGTGCTGGAAGTGAAGACCTATAAATACCTTTCTGTTTTATGAAGGCAATGTTCTATCTTGTTTAAAATGGTTTCCTTTAATAAATGTAAAAGTCCTGGGCTTCGTGGAGAGAGTAGCAACTCATGTTTTGAACAGGTCTTCTTCAGGTATTTGTCCTGTGTCCTGGGTTGTATTTATCTTTTTTGTATGCATGCATGGTTACAATTACTTTATGCATGTTTGTCTTGTGTACAGTTCAATACACACAACCCTTGGATATAGCTCCTTCATTTTGTCAGCCACACCTAAATGTATCATGACAATTCAGTTCAGAACCTGTTTGACCACATTGTACTTAGCCATTGTTAAACTTGTCCAGGGGCATGGATTAATTTTTAGCTGTGTTGTAAAGATAGAGGACAATATATACATATAGGACCCTGCCAAATACAGTCTGCCCCTCATTGCTGCTTTGTCTCCCTTTATTGACACCTGTATTGGCTCACTTTTTCCTTTTGGCAAAATGCCACTAGGGCTATTTACAGCCGATATGTTTCGGACACCGAAATTTCAGTGCATCCCTAATTCACAGTAGATGTAATTATGTGCACCTTGTGTCATTTTGAAATGCAGGCCACCTTTTTTTTTTTTTTGTTTTTTAAATCCACTTGTGTCATTGGGGCCTGTTCCTTCCAGAGAGACAGGTTGCACTGCTATTTTTAAGATATGCTGCAGTTTGGGCTGTGATGGCCTGAAGCCATGTCTATTACTTAGTTATTCTGGCTGAAAAAATACAAAATTCCATCCAGTTCAACCATAAAAAAAAAAAAAAAGTTATAATCCTACACCCACAGTTGAAATGAGACATTTAACATGACCTTGAAACACTTGTAAATATGCAAGGCGATGCATGTTAAAGTCTACATAGTACTGCATGTGTTTTTAATTGCTTCTGATGTAAATTTAATATTTATTAGGTAGCCCACCACCTCTTGTATCTGGTATGAATTTACTCTTATTAGGTAGCCCACCACCTCTTGTATCTGGTTCGAACTTACTCTTATTAGTAGTCCACCACCTCTGTATCTGTGTGAACTTACTATTATTAGGTAGCCCACCACCTCTTGTATCTGGTGTGAACTTACTCTTATTAGGTAGCCCACCACCTCTTGTATCTGGTGTGAACTTACTATTATTAGGTAGCCCACCCTCTTGTATCTGGTGTGAACTTACTCTTATTAGTAGTCCACCACCTCTTGTATCTGGTATGAATTTACTCTTATTAGGTAGCCCACCACCTCTTGTATCTGGTATGAATTTACTCTTATTAGGTAGCCCACCACCTCTTGTATCTGGTATGAATTTACTCTTATTAGGTAGCCCACCACCTCTTGTATATGGTGTGAACTTACTCTTATTAGGTAGCCCACCACCTCCTCAGATTAAAAAAAAAAAATGGTAGATCAAAAAGTAAAAAACATTTTTATAAATATTGTTTAAAAATACCACCTATGGCTTCCAGCCACTTCTTGTAGGGCAGGCTAACATCACTGGTATGCAGAGAAAATACAGTACTTCAAGTTCTGTGAGAAGGCGCTTCTGTAAGATTTGTAATGCTTCCCTTTCCAGGGGCTCAGGAGACACCCCCGTATCAATCACTCTTGCCATAAGGTCTCTTTGACCTAGCACTCAAAATTGTGAGTGACCATGAAATGGTGTAAAACTTTCGTACCCAAAATTGTCCATAAGTTCTTACAGGTTATCAGTTTAGCTTTGAATAATGTCCCTATGATTCGTTCTCTCACTCCCAGCGTTCGAAGCAATAAATAATGATTCTGTATGTAAGCGCCCCTGACGTGCATTTGATGTACAGTCAGGAATGCTTTTTTTTGGGGGTGGTTAAGGGCTTTTTTTTTTTTTTTTTACTTTATTATCACATAGGAACCAACAGCCCCATATTTATAGTGACAAGTTTTTTTTATTGAGACATCAAGGGTGTATTAGTCACTTTGGGGTTTATTTACTAAAGCTGGAGAGTGCAAACCCCCTTCTCCCCATTGCTGCCAATGTATTGTATACGTTGGTGACAGAAAAAGGGTAAATTGTCTTTTTGTTGTTTTGGTCCCTGGAAAGTGCCTTGTTATTTGAAAGCCCTTTTACATGAATCTGTGTAATAAAACCAGGCTGCTTATTGACCTTTTTAAACTGTGCCCATCAGATATCAGCCTCAGAGTTGCTGCTTATTCTTTTCCAGGTGGTTGCTAATGATCGAAGTCCTCTTGTGAGTAAAGTGCACTGGGAGAAGATGGTGAAAAAAGTGACCAAGTTTGGCATCCGGACAGGGACTTTCAATTGCTCCAGTGACCCCAAGTGAGTAGAGACCTCTTTACATTTATAATAAAGATGGAAACCTCTTGTTAACCTATCAATCTCTTCTTCTTCCTTCTTTCTTCCTCATTCTTCTTCCTTCTTTCTTCCTCCTTCTTCTTCCTTCTTTCTTCCTCCTTCTTCCTTCTTTCTTCCTCCTTCTTCTAATTACAAAATAGATACAGCATTTACAATATATATATATTAAAAGGCAGTTGTTATCCGATGTGAAGTACATACACATAGAACTGTAACTATGAAACCTAAGTGGAGCAAATACAACAAATATAAAAAATATAACACTTCTCCTCTATCCTGTATATTACTCCTCACATGAATCTCCAATAAAAATAAATGTTATCCCTAATTGTGGAATCTTTGCAATCAGACTTTTTAAAGTAGAACTTTACCCAAAAGGGAATTTCTGCTCTTCCTTCTCCTTTGTATTTGGCATTGACATTTTTTTTTTTTTTCTTTTGAGGGGTGGGAGTGGGTACCTGGTTTTGATCCGAGCAGGAGTTCAGCCCCCCTTCCCCCCCAGCTTTCTGGGATGTGCACGTGCAGTGAGCAGCCAGTTGTGAGGCTGAAAGCAGTCACAGCCGGCCGCCCATAGTTCGTATTCCGGAGCTGGGGACTGAAGCCAAGTGAGGACAGCGCTGGATCCTGGGATAGGGGAGTGTCTGTTTATTAAAAATCAGGAGCTACAGTTTTTGTAGCTACTAACTAACTTTTTTTTTTTTTTTTTTTTTTCTTCAAAAGATGACTGAAGAACCGCTTTAATATATTGTAGGCTATTATTAGGAGTGCTGCTTTTCATAGAAATGGTTTTCCTGACTTTGATTGTGGCCAAGGGTGTGCATTTTAGACCATCCCTTTTACATATATTCAAAATCTTTCTTTTTAACATCTCCCATCCCTGCTAGCAAAACCATCTCCCCCTGCCTAACATCACTTAGAGTAGTACCTGTCATGAAAGAACACTGAAGGGTGCCATTGCTGACCTCTCCTTTTTAAGAATGTTGGTTCCCTGGCTGTCATGCTGGTGCTTTCCCTTCAGTGCTAAAGGGAACAAGCATAGAGATATGAAATTCTGACACTCATTTACACCACGTTTTGTTCTGGGTCTCCATCTGAAAAGTATTAGAGTTAGACACACAGGCATCTGGCAGCGATGACATCCCCATACTATTCTCATGACAGGATGGATTTAAAATGAACCTATGGGGAGAAAATATCTAGAACCTGCATAGCGAGTCACTGACTTGGGGCACGAATGCAACGTGGTAATTCTGACAAAAGTCAGAATTACCACGTTGCATTCGTGCCCCAAGTCAGTGACTCGCTATGCAGGTTCTAGATATTTTCTCCCCATAGGTTCATTTTAAATCCAGCCTTAACTTTCTGCATGCTTGTTCTACGTTCTTGAATCACTAGAGCGAGAAATCAACACCTTTGACATCTTTAAAAACAAGTCTGCAATGACAGCTGCTATATTGCTGTTCTTACGGCGCTGTTACTTGTCAGGTTCATGTTAACATTTTCCTGTCAATCTTCATCTAATCATGTTTCCTCAAGTCTTCCCAGCAGTGGATGTAATGCATGTAACCTCACATACATACAGGTAGAATAACTTCATAGATCAAAATGGATATCCAGAAAGCCTGAACTATTGGTGGGACATATGAAGCTGAAGTTTTTTTGTATTTTATTTATTTTTAAATACAGCCATTCACATGAGGTATATGTATTCCATTACCTTCTAGTAAAAATCTTATATCCTAGTCCCTGGATACTGCCCTAAGCTGTTATCCTCTAGCGCAGGGGTCTCCCAAACTTTCTAAACAAGGGGCCAGTTTACTGTTTTTCAGACTTTAGCGGTCCAGACTGTGGCCAGTGGGAGTAAAAAAAATGTCCCAAGTAAATAATACCCCATCATTGGTTTTGGTTGAAGTAATAGTGCCCCATTATTTGTATCAGCGGAAGGAATAGTGCCCCATCATTGGTATCAGTGGAAGGAATAGTGTCCCATCATTGGTATCAGTGGAAGGGTGCCCCATCATTGGTGTCAGTGGGGGGAATAGTGCCCTATTATTTGTATCAGCAGAAGGAATAGTGCCCCATTATTTGTATCAGCAGAAGGAATAGTGCCCCATCATTGGTATCAGTGGAAGGAATAGTGCCCTATTGTTATCAGTAGGAATAATAGTGTCGCATGGTTGATATCAGCGGGAGGAATATCACCCCATCATTGGTGTCAGTGGGAGGAATATCACCCCATCATTGGTGTCAGTGGGAGGCATGGTGCCCCATCTTTGGTTTCAGTTGTGGATGGAATAGTGCCCCAAGGGCTTAGAGGAAAACAAAGGGCCACAGTTTGAAGACCAGTGCTCTAGCGCTATGAAGGTTACCAGAAGTCACTACTACTGAGAAAAGTTGGACTGCTCACCTGTCCCCCTTCTGCTCTCCCTGCCATTCAGATTGCAGTACACTGTGTGAGAGTCGTAATATGAGCAATATGAATGGCGGAGTGGGTAAAAAGGGGGGACAAACAAGCTCCTCAGCTATTCTCAGTAGCTGTGGCTGCTGTTAATGCCCCTCAGGGCAGTATCTGGTGGCTCTGTAGGAGGCACTGCAGGAAGAATAAATCATCCATTGCATATAACTAATGTGTTTGCTGCTGTCCCCCACAAAAAAAAAAATTCAAAAAATATGGAGGGGGTTCATCTCTTCCCACCAATCGGCTCTCAGAGCTGTCCTCGCTGAGCTGTGCACTATTGAAGAGCATTAGCAAGGAATTCTATATGTAAGTGAGTGCACTCTAAAAAGCGACCAATGCACTAAAAGGAACCACAAAACCTTCCTACCAAAATCATAAAACACGGAGTGCAGCGCTAAATCAAAATAAGACAAATAAAACCTTAACATAACGAATATGTGACTGATATAAGTCCACTTATAATATCAGAATATGAGTTATGTAGTCCACCATAAAATATCAATCACTGTGAGTATGATCCAATCTTCTGTTGTAGAGGTATGAATAGATTGCCTACTCACCAGAAGCACAATATTATTGCGTATATCTAGATCACATGCATCCTGGGGTCCCGGATGGAAACAGCCTGGTGCTAGGATCCTCTGGTGGTCCCTCAGTGGTATATGAGAAGGATATAGGTCTGGTCACAAGGTGTTTAATCCTCAGGTCCACAGCAGTGCCTGAAATACTGGTGCTGAGGTATGGAGGCTCAATGCCAGGTATGGGGAATAAAGGTGCTCATAGTGTAGTATTATGAATAATAAATTTATTGTATCAAATAAGAACAATGACGTACATAAGCAACTAAAAAGGTTACAAGAGACTGCTGTGAGCAATCATAAGAAGCACCCAAACAGGCACTGACCAGTGCAAATCAAGTGTGGGCCGCCGGACCTCCTGATCCGGCGGCGTGACGTCAAGGCGTGCGAGGGCTCCTCCTAGACTCGTTTCGTGTAAACACACGTCTGCAGTAGGGGTGATCCTTCTCATATACCACTGAGGGACCACCAGAGGATCCTAGCACCAGGCTGTTTCCATCCGGGACCCCAGGATGCATGTGATCTAGATATGCGCAATAATATTGTGCTTCTGGTGAGTAGGCAATCTATTCATACCTCTACAACAGAAGATTGGATCATACTCAGTGATTGATATTTTATGATGGACTACATAACTCATATTCTGATATTATAAGTGGACTTATATCAGTCACATATTCTGTTATGTTAAGGTTTTAATTTGTCTTATTTTGATTTAGCGCTGCACTCCCTGTTTTATGAGCAAGGAATTCTAGTTTGTGCAAGGTCTTGATCTGCATTCAAAATAATGTGTTTTTTAAGAAAGCTTCAATAATATTGCATTTTCTCTTCATGGTACTCTTACCTTCTCCTGTTTATTCTCTTGTAGATACTGCAGGAAGAGAGGATGGATGAGGTCAACGCTTATTATGTCTGTGCCCCAAACAAGCACTTCAAAGGGAAAAGTCATGCTGAAAGAGTACAGTGGACGCAAAATTGAAACTGAGCATATATTTAAGTGGATTACTGCACACGCCCGCTTCACGGATCAAAACAGTTTACAATTCTGAGCACTTGAAAGAAGAATGGAACAAAAGTGATCAGTACAAGGTCAAGTTGTACCTCTTTGCCAGTCTTGATAAGCCTCCAGCTTTCTTCTCAGCGTTGAGTGTGAAATTTACCGGGAGAGTGGAATTTATCTTTGTCAATGTCGGTAATTGGGACAATACAAGCTACATGACAGAAATTGGCATATCCAGAACACCTTCCTATGTTTTGAAGACCCCAGAGGGAATTTACAAATATGGGAATAATACAGGCGAGTATATCTCCCTCCGAGCCATGGATTCCTTCCTGCGCACTTTACAGCCCGAAGTCAATGACTTGTTTGTGCTCAGTTTGGTCTTGGTGAACCTGATGGCTTGGATGGACTTATTTATTACTCAAGGAGCCACCATCAAAAGATTTGTTGTTTTAATCAGCACTTTAGGGACCTATAATTCCCTGTTAATCATTTCCTGGCTACCAGTTTTGGGATTCCTACAGCTGCCCTACCTAGACAGCTTTTATGAGTACAGTCTAAAGTTACTTCGCTATTCTAACACGACAACTTTGGCTTCGTGGGTAAGAGCCGACTGGATGTTCTACTCTTCCCATCCTGCCCTTTTCCTAAGCACTTATCTTGGTCATGGCTTACTTATAGATTACTTTGAAAAGAAGAGACGTCGAAATAATGCTGATGAAGTCAATGCCAATAACTTGGAGTGGCTGTCTAGCCTCTGGGATTGGTACACTAGCTACCTGTTCCATCCGATCGCCTCTTTCCAGCACTTTCCCAATAACTCTGACTGGGATGAAGACCCAGACCTCTACCTCGAGCGCTTGGCATTTCCAGATTTGTGGCTTCACCCTCTGATACCCACCGACTACATCAAAAATCTACCCACCTGGCAGTTCCAGAGTCATAAGCATTCCGTAGAAGAAGACCTCTTGGAAGGCTCTGTAGAAAGTGACAGTGACTCTGAAACTGAGCCTTCTAACAGCGCAACTTGTCAATGTCAAGCACTTGAAGGCCATACCAACTGTTGCACAGCTAAGCCTTCAGCGGAAACCACTGACCAAACTTGCTCATGTGTCGACACACAAAAGAAAGGCAGCCCATGCGGAAGAAAAATCAGGGCCTATGGTTCTTATTGCACTGAGGACAGCCTAGAACCAAATTGGTCCGTGTGGCCAGTAAACATGTTGCATTGTACAGAATGTGTTGTGTGTCTAGAGAATTTTGAGAATGGTTCTCTACTTATGGGTTTACCTTGTGGTCACGTATTTCACCAAAACTGCATTGTGATGTGGCTGGTGGGAGGTAGACACTGTTGCCCGGTTTGCCGCTGGGCATCCTACAAAAAGAAACATTACAGTCACCAAGCATCATTGTCAAGTACCACTGTCTCTTAGCGCCTGCGTTTTGCCTGTGAGCTTACTTGCCTGTTTTATGCTTGTATCTGTTAGAAACTTAAGTGGTTTGATGTCCTGTTTCAGTCTTCACATTGGAACGAATATAAAGTTCTGTCAATGTCCATGATCCCTCATCAATCTGTCTTGTTGCCTTGTGTGTTCAGTGTCAATGCATACGTAACCAGAAAAAAATATTTTTATGATTTTGAAAAATATTCCTATTTCAGTGTACTATTTTTTAAAACAAAATTAATCTTCCGCCAAACTCTAGAAGAAATTCAGGTTGATTTATTTTTGATTGCTAGTTTTTATCAACCTTGCTCAGCATTTCAGAAGCTTGTGAAGGTACATTATGAAAGTTTAATCAAATGGGATAAGTGTTATTTTTAATAAATCTTAAACACTGGTTTCTGCTCATTTTTATTGAAATTTGATTTGTTCTACTTAAATATTTTTAGCTGAACTTATGTAAACAAACAACAGTATATGACTAAAAGTTGTGAACACCTGACCATCACAACTACAGGTGTGTGAAAAAGTAAGTACACTCCAAGGAAATTGTTGTCTTTTTCAACAGGCAAACTTTGGACCTTGATTCCAATGGTGCCTATAGATAAAGGGTGATACTGTATACTTAAACAAATTACCTAAAATATGATATTATGTTAATTAGTGAAATGCATGAAAATTGCACGTACATCCCTACATTTACCATCTCCATGAAAGAAGAATTAGGTGTTTAAGATTAGGCGGCAATAATTAGAACCTTCTTAGGCTGGCCATACACTATATACACTTTTATTACAAATTTTTGTCCAATTTATGCCCAATTTCCTTTATATTTTCCCTCAACTATGTAGTGCAAGGGCTTGCCTAATTGAATAAATTGAAAATGTCGTTTAGGTTTGACCTCATATTATATGGTTTTTGGTAAATATAAAGCAAAATTCTCAAGAAAATTGTATAATGTATGGCCAGCCTTAGGGAGTATGCAGGAAGAACCTGTCCTATTTAAACCTCAGACATCATGCCAAGATCAGTAGAGCTTTCTAAGGCCCTTGGGTAGAAGGTTGGGGATATCAGAGTCTGGCAGGGATTTTAAAAGATTGATTTTTACATAATTTGGCAATCCTTCCACTGCAAGGCCCCTTCTTTTGATTTTTCAGATTAAGTTAAATATATAATTTATAAAAACATAAACACAGTATCAAAAACATTAATCTTTTTTCCATTTTATCACCCCCCCCCCCCACCGCCACCCACCACCTATGCACCACCCTCCTCCCCCCTCAACTCTGCAATTTCCTATTACTTTCTGGGGATCCCAATCTCAACAAAGCAAGACGCAAATAAAAACCCCCCAATTGATCTATGTTTGTCCCCCATCAACTCTAAATTTAACTTTTGACTTTTTAAATTCATCCCATTTGTTCCATCGTATATGATGACTTATCTTCATTCTTATGGAAAAGTTCCTCCAATCTACATATTTGATCTACCGTGTCAACCCAATCTTTTCTTTTCGGCACCTCCTGTCTCCTCCAAAACTTAAGAATCAATCCCTTTGCTGCATTCAGCTAATACAATAAACCAGATTTTTTTTATATTTTTTTTGTCTGAAAGCTTGTTACTATGAAAAAGACAAGTCTCTGGATCTTTTAATTCATCAACCTCTAAAATTTTTTAATCAGACTTACAATTTTCCCCCAATACTGTTGGATTTTAGGACACTCCCACCATATATGATACATTGTGCCTCTACCTCCACATCCATGCCAACACAAAGGTGAATTATCTTCACTTAATCTATGTGCCACACTCGGTGTGAAATACCATCTTGCCATACACTTATAATTCATCTCTACCTCCCGCATATTTACATTTCCATTAATTATTCTATACATTTTCCTCTGTTTTTCTACATCTAGTAGTATTCCTATATCCCTTTCCCATTTTTCTATAAATGTAGGCTTTAGATCAGTGAGAATCTTATATATTTTAGAAGTTCCGTGTTTCCCATCTCCCCGTGTATCTAACAAATGCTCAAAAGGGTTCCAATCCTCTTATTCTTAAAGGCTTTGTAAGCTTCCTTATAAAGTGTTTCAATTGAAAATAATGCCACTCATCCATTTTTGTGAAAACTCTTTTTTTTTTTTTTTTTTTTTTTTTTTTTTTTTTTTCCAGTACCTTAAGTGATTCTAATTCCTCCCCTACCATTATATCCCTTAATTGTGCATCTTCCTTCTTTATCCACTTCCCTGTAATACCTTCTTTACCCGGGGGGGGGGGAAACTCTGTGGACCCTGAGGGCATTAATAATGAATTAAATTCCCATCCCATCTGTTTGTGTAGAGTGTCCCATACTTTTAAAACCTTTAATGGGAACAAACTTGTGCTATCTACTAATCCTAGGAATTGTGGAGGTAACCATATGATTCTACTAAAGTTGGTGCTACTTAGTGTATTTTCTATTTTAACCCAGCTTTTACATTATGTGTTCAGTCAAAAATTCTCGCCATTATTACCGAGCTATAATATCTTTTCAAGTCTGTTACTCCCAGCATTTTGCGTTTTAATCTGCCCAGCAACAAATTTGAAAAAAAAAAAAAAAAATTGCAAAACACACCCGCAAAAAGCATTGCAGAGACTGATCAATCGCAAACTGCATGATACTGCTTCTATGCTGCATTTTTTTTTTTTTAAATCTTTTCTCTTGATGTCTTTATATCAGATTTTATTTTGAGACCATTTTACACACATATACAAACAAGCATGTCTTTAAAAAAAAAAAAAAAAAAAAATACAAAATACCTAACCTGAGATGGAGCATACCTAAATATAATCAAAACAATGAAAAAAAAAAAAAAAAGCATTATGACAGCCAATGAACATCCAACAATACATATGGGCTCTGCTTTTAATAAATTAAATAATACAGCTATGCCTAAAGAGGCCTATATCCTAACTCGATGCTGGACTCGTGGGTTAACCAAGGTGACCAAATGAAATCAAACCTCTTTAATAAATTTCTGAGGAAAAAAAAAAGGTGTCTCTCATAATAAATGCACTTATTACAATCAGATATGGGCGGAGGTTGCAGGGAAGTCCAGTTAAGGGCAAAATGCCTTCGAGCCACAAACAGTGCATGTGTAACTGTAATCGGCTTTGGTGGTTTAAGCAATGAAGAATCAACATCACCCAATAACCATGGGAGAGGTTCCATTGGAAGATTCACATCTAAAATCCCATTAAGTGTGTCCAACACCTCCGCCCCATACCTCTGTAGTTTTGGGCAATGCCATAATAGGTGTATCATGGACCCCGAAATACTGCATCTAGGACAGGCTGAGTCGGCTCTTAGACCAACAGCACACAAACATTCTGGGGTCCTATATACCCTATGAAGAACAAAAAAAAATCTAGTTTAGCCTATGCGAAGAGGAGAATAAAACAAAAGGGATTTCTGAGGAGGGATTTCCTAAGACAGATTCAGGTACATATGCTAGATATATGTAAACATCCTTTTTGACTATTCCTAAGATGCCACCACATTGACGCTTAACACTGCAAGCAACTGTAGTTTTGATTGCACTTTTATCTGTGGCAAGGGGAGCCACATGACCATTACACTTTAGTGTTCTGCTTTATGCTGCATTTTTTCAAATTCTTTTCTCTTGATGGCAATAGAAACGGATGTTCCCTGTTCACTAAAGTGGACCTATCATCAAAGGAAACCTAAACCATTCAGGGCAAAGTGACAGTCTCTTGAAAGTGGTGCACATACTCCTTTCACTGCCAATAAATATAAGACCTTTTTTTTAAATATTCAACAATGTAATGCATGTTTATTTTAAATGTGTGGCACCATCTAGTGGGATAAAAGAAACGCACTATACATTGTATATACAATATATAGTGTGTGTGTGATATAGATATATATATATATATATATATACACACACACACACACACTTTATTTCCCAAAATTATTGGGACACCTGCCTTTACATGCATATGAACTTTAATGGCATCCCAGTTTTAGTCTGCAGGGTTCAATATTGAGTTGGCCCCGCCCTTTGCAGCTATAACAGATTCAACTCTTCTGGGAAGGCTGTCCACAAGGTTTAGGAGTGTCTATGGGAAGGTTTGACCATTCTTCCAGAAGCACATTTGTGAGGTCAGGCACTAATGTCGTACGAGAAGGCCTGGCTCACAGTCTCCATTCTAATTCATCCCAGAGGTGTTCTATCGGGTTGAGTTCAGACTCTGTGCAGGCCAAACCTTGCTTTGTGTCCTGTCAACCTCAGGTCATGTTGGAACAGTAAGGGGCATCCCCAAACTGTTCCCACAAAGTTGTGAACATGAAATTGTCCAAAATGTCTTGGTATGTTGACACCTTAAGTGTTCTCTTCACTGGAACTAAGGGGCCAAGCCCAACCCTTGAAAAACAACCCCACACCATAATCCCCCCCTCCCCCAAACTTTACACTTGCCACAATGCAGTCAGGCAAGGACCGCTCTCCTGGTAACCGCCAAACCCAAACATGTCCATCGGATTGCCAGACTGAGAAGTGTGATTCGTCACTCCAGAGAACACGTCTCCACTGCTCTAGAGTCCAGTGGCTGCGTGCTTTACACCACTGCATCTGACGATTTGCATTGCACTTGGTGATGTAAGGCTTGGATGCAGCTGCTCGGCCATGCAAGCCCATTCCATGAAGCTCTCTATGCACTGTTGTTGTGCTAATCTGAAGGCCACACAAAGTTTGGAGGTCTTTAGCTATTGCAGATAGTTGACGACTTCTGCGCACTGTGCGCTTCAGCATGCACTGACCCCGCTCTGTCATTTTACGTGGCCTACCACTTTGTGGCTGAGTTGCTGTTGTTCCCAGTTGCTTCCACTTTGTTAAACTACCACTAACAGTTGACCGTGGAATATTTAGTAACAAGGAAATGTCACGGATGGACTTATTGCACAGGTGGCAACCTATCACGGGACC